AATCCTGGAAGAAACCTGTATACCTGTCAACAGACAACTGGATAAAGAAAATGTGCTATCTATATATAATGGAATACTACTCGGTTATAAAGAAGGATCAATTTCAGACATTTGTAGGAAAATGGATGCACCTAGAAAATATGTTGAGTACAATAAACTGGACACAAAGCTTAAATACCATATGGTATCTCTCATTTGAGTAAAGCAAAGTACAAACACAGAGATCAACAGAGGACAGACAGAAGGAGACGAGGGGATGATCTCTTACAAATAGGAAAGAGTACAAGAGGCCAACAGTGAGAAGTGAAGAGTAGCAGAAGGGGAAATAAGTAGAATAAAGATAATATGCCATCTACATGAACTTAATAACCTCGATGAATGTAACTCTATGTCATAAACATGAGCTAAGCTTAATAATATGAATAAGAATGAAAATGAGGAAAGGGGAATTAGAGGAGGGGGAAGAGGGAGGGATGGGGAAGGGGATTTTTTAAAAAAGGAAGCAAGTTGTATTATGTACATGTACCAACTTCCCAAAATGATTATAAAATGTATGTACTGTAAACATGTACTAATAAACAAATAAAGTAGTAAAAAAAACCCACAGTTAGGTATCATATGACACCTGGTAGCATGGATATTATCAAAAAGTCAAGAAAACATTTGTAGGTGAAGATGTGGACCAAAGGGACCCGAGGTCTACTTTTGGTAGAGTGTAAATTGATTAAACTATTATGGAAAACAATATAGAAGTTTCTCAAAAAATTAAAGATAGAACTACCATATGAGCATCAATTCCCATGCTGAGTATATATATCTGAAGGAAATAAAATCATTATCTTGAATAGATACCTGTATTCTCATGTTCACTGCAGCATTATTCACAATACCTGAGATACGGGAACAACCTAAATGTCCCTCCACTGGTGAATGGGTAAAGGAAATGTACACACACACAAGCCACGGGATTTGATTCAGCCTTTAAAGAAGGAAATTCTGAAAAATAAAAATAAAAATTAAAAAAAAGAAGGAAATTCTGTCATTGGTAACAATATGGATGAATGTGGAGGATATCATGTTGAGTGAAATAAGACAGAACAGAAAGACCAATAGTACCTGACCTGATTTACATGTGGAAACTAAAAAAACTGAATTCACAGAATCAGAAAGTAGGAGGATGGTTACCAGGTTGGGGTATTATAAGACACTGACCAAAGAGCCCTAACTTTCAGTTGGGAGATGAGGAAGTGCTACAGGCCCAGCACGATGACTGCACTCAATACGACACTGCATACAACCTTTTCTCCATATCTGTGGACTCCACATCCACAGATCAATCAACGACAAATCAAAAAATATCTGGGGAAAATTTGCATCTGTATTGAACATATATAGATTTTTTTCTTGTCATTATTCCCTAAACAATGCAGTGTAACAACTATTGACAGAGAATTTACATTGTATTAAGCTGTGTAAGTAATCTAGAGATGACTTGAGTACACAGGAGGATGTGTGTAGGTTATACGCAAATACTACACCATTTCATATAAGGGGCCTGAGCAGCACATATTTTGTTGTCTAAGGAGGGCCCTGGAGCTAATTTCCACTGATACCGAGAGAAAGCTGTACTTTAAATTTGCTAGATTAGATCTTAAGTGTGCTCACCACACATACACACAAAATAGCAATTGTGTGAAGCAATGGATGTGTTAAGCTTGACTGTGGCAATCATTTCATAATGAATACATATATAACTCATCACACTAGACACCTTGAATATTAAAAAAAAACAACTGAGCCGACATGGAGCCACACTCCTGGCTATACTCCCAGCCCTATGGAAGGCTGAGGCAGGGGAATGGCAAGTTCAAGCCCAGCCTGGGTAATTTAGCCACCTAGTGAGACTGACTCAAAATAAAAAGGGATGGGGCTATAGCTCAGTGTGAAGGCCCCAGGTTCAGTCCTCAGTGCTGAGGGATGGTGGGAAGCCTGAACGAGGGAGAGCTGCCTGTAGTCAGCAGAACTAAACTCAATGGAAACTGCTGAGGAGGGTCACACGATAACCTGCCACCTGAAGAGAATGTGTTCCTCCTCAAAGTCTGGGGAGAACAACAGGACCAAGTAGAAGTTGTGAGGCAAACTATTTGACCAGGTTTTCAAGCTGGAGAGAAGAGAGGGCCCCTGGGCCTCCGTGGTGGAGCTGAGGGGCCAGGATGACTGGTGAAAAGAGAAACGCAAAGCTACATCACTGTAGTCACACAGGCCCTGGGCTCGTAACCCATCCGTGCCAAAGCCTTCCTGGGGGTGCTACAACTCAGGCTTCAGGACAAGGGAGAGGACTGAGGAGAATTAGGCCAGGCACTATGGTGAGTGCTGGATGAGAAATCTGCAATGGAAAAATTCCTCCATATAAAATTCCTTTTACACAGTTTGCAATAGCTAAATCTTGGAAACAGCCTAAATGCCCATCAACTGGTGAGTGGATAAAGATGTGTTGTTTTTGTTTTTTTAATAAAATGGAGTACTACTCAGCTATAAAGATAAACTTGAGACATTTAGAGCTAAATGGATGCACCCTGAGGCCATCCTCTTAAGTGAAATAAATGAGACATACATGTGTAAATAGAGAATTGTTTCTTTGGTGTGAGAAACTGGAAGTGTAAATGAGGACCAAAATGTATTACGGATATTGTGAAATAAGAAGAAAAGGTTCAAAGGGGAAAGGGAACTAGGGAGGATGGGTGGGGAAGAGGAAAGAAGGGAAAGAAAAAAGTTGAAGAAGGTAAAAACTGAAACAAAGCTTAGGTATATAGGGAGGGGTAGAGGGGTTTAAGGGAAGGTAGGGGAATGGGAAAAAATAAGAACCAAGATACATCATGTACAGGTACAAATTCCCAATGATCACAAGGTATACCTAAAATGTACCAATAAACTCAATAAACAAATTTTAAAAAATAAAATAAAATGCCTTTTAAATATGTAAAATCAGGGGCAGGAGGATCCAAAATTTGAGCCCAGCCTGGGCAGTTGAGTGGCATAGTGAGACCACGTCTTAAGACTTTAAAAAACAAGTCAGAAGCATGCCTGTTACCCCAGCATTCATTGAGGGAGGAGGCCTGCTGTGAGTCTGAGCCCACCCTGGGCTACACAGTGAGTGCAAAGGCCCTGGGTTCAATACCCAGTATCGCTAAATAAATACATAAATGTACCAAATATTTAAAAATCTCATTTTGCCTCTTTTTTTTTGGTACCGGGGATCGAACTTGCGCTTGCGAGGCCGGCGGCGGAACCGCTGAGCTAAAACCCCGGCCCTTGCCTCCTTTTTCTTATAAACTTCGTTTCAAAAATTCCCGCTGTGACTAATTTCGTGGTCAGGTTCGGACGTCGTGCTTGGCGGTGAGCGGTGGGAGGAGGGTGAGCCCTCCTTAGATGCGGGCGCAGAGGCGGAAGGAGAGCGGACGCCCGCGGCCGGTCGCTGCCTCCCCCGCAAGGGCAGAGCTCTGCAGGAAACCGGGGCGCGCTGCCCTTCGGCGACCCCAGCGTTTCCTCAGGGTCAGGCGTGCGCTGCCCTCCTCGCTCCCTCGCCCGCCTTGGCCTCCTAGGTCTCCTGGCGTCGAGGTTCCCGGCTGCAGGCCCAGCCCTGCGCCCGCCCCACTCACCTTCGCGGGCCCCGGGTTCCCCCGGCTGAGCCTGGAGGACCCGAACTGCCCTTCAAACACAACCTGACTCGGGTCGGAAGTCTCCTCCTCGCCGGGCAGGGACTTCTTTTCTGCGCAGGTGACACGTCCAGGACTGTGGAGAGAAGTGGGGAAAACGATCTCAACTCGGAGCAAACGATCCTACGTTCTGCACGTTCATCTGGCGCACTGAGGGCTGGCTTCGCGGAGAGGAAAGACGACCGGGGAGCGGTGGGAACGCACCAGAGAGGGGCAGCCCTTCAGGAGCCAGCTGACAACCTGCAGCTGTGCCCCTCCCCGCCCACCTGGGAGCATTTCAAGTGCCAGGTGGAGACGACTCTGCTGTGCTCCCAGCCTCTCTGGTGGGACTTTCTTGCTGGGGTCTGGCTGCAGTTGAGCATTCAGACTTGCTCTCAACATCTCATAGCCCTGATGGGTTCCCAGGGAGGGAGAGTGGAGACTCCTCGGACCCTAGCGGACAGCCTTCTCCAGAAACTACGTGGAAATGAATCAAATAGAAATTCTGAAACTGTACAATAAAATGACTGAAAATAACAATTCAACAGAGGAGTGTAACAGATATTAGACACAATGGAAGAAACAAAATATTTACAACCAAATACCGAGAGACAAAAAATACATAAATGTAAGACACAGAAAAGATACAATGAGAAAATCTGAAATATGTTTAACTGGACTACCCCAAAAAGGAGAGACAATATGCCACATAACAATCAAAGAGAAAATGACTAACAACATCCCAGAACTAGTTAAAGACATTCGTCTACAGATCCCAGAAGACTCTTGAATTCCAAGTAAAATAAACAAAAAGAAATCCGTATCTAGAGACATCCTGTAAAATTGGGGGAAAAAAAGACAATGCATCCAGAAAAATTATTTTCAAAGGAACAACAAACAGTAAGATTGGTAGCTAACTTTTCAAAAAAGTAGGGGCTGGGGATTTAGCTCAGTGGTCCTGCCGCCTGCCTTGCAAGCACAAGGTCCCCAGTTCAATCCCGGGTACCAAAAAAAAAAAAGAGTAACAAACAACAGGACATATGTTGAAAGAAAGTAATTAGAATTCCTAATCCTACCAAAAAATCCTGTAAGAATAAAGTTGAAATCTTAAAGATTACACACTGTAAGATTCCAACCCTATGACATCCTGGAGAAGGTGAGAGTGTGGGGATAGTTAAAAGATTAGTGATGGCTAGAGTTAGGAGGGAGAAAGGGATAAAAGGACAGGCCCAGACAGTGAAGCTGGCTGTGGTGGTACCCACCTGTAATTCCAGTTCTCTCAGGCTGAAGCAGGAGGGTCACAGGTTCAAGCCCAGTCTGGGCAACTTAGCAAGACCTCATTTCAAAATAAAAAAGTAAAAAACAAAATGGACTAAGGATGTAGCTGAGTGCAGAGGTGCTGGGTTCAATCCCCAGTACCACCAAAAAATATGTGTGTGTGTGTGTGTGTGTACATACATATGAGCAAAATAGTCAACGACACAGTGAATTATATTGCTATATACTTACAATAGACAGATTTCATGGTAAATAAATTGTAACTTCATTAAGATTTTTTTAAATGTCAGTCATAAAAGAGTAAATGCTTTAATCCCTCACCTTTATCAAATAGGAAAAGCAAGAAAGCAAGGAAATGAAGGTAAAGTGACGACCAGGGCTGGGATGTAGCTGCTCAGTGGCAGAGCTCTTGCCTAGCATTCTCCAAGCCTTCAGTGTGATCTCAGCACCAAAAGACAGTGCCACCGGCCCTGGGGCAGCAGGGCCCAGTCTTCAAGAGGGGAGTCTTCGTCGCCATAGACCTGGCTTGGGGCTTCGTTAAGCTGTTTACTTTTTATACTGTTTTCTACATATATTGCATAATGCCGAAGTGATGACAGTAACGACAAAGTTGTAAACCACTGAAAGGAAAAATGTGGCTGGTCACAGGGTGCGTTGGGAAATAAACTGTGTTCACCTGGTTACTGCGTACCTGCAGCTGCAGTGCGTTCCGCTTCCCACGGCTCCCCAGGAGGCTTTACGCCACTCCCTCCGAGGCCGGCTGTGGACAGCGAAGGGGAACTGGGGCGGTTTGGCGCGCAGGCTGGTCTTCGCTGTTTCTTTAAGCTTTTTTGTGGAATACGGCTTGCCTATAGGAAAACAGGAAATCCAAATCAATTCTCTTAAAAGCAAATCTAGGGCCGGGGGTTTAGCTCAGCGGTTCCACCGCCCGCCTCACAAGCTTAAGGTCCGGAGTTCGATCCCCGGTACCAAAAATAAATAAAATTAAATAAAATTTAAAAAGCAACTCTAGCCACTCTTGGAGTGGGCAGTCCCGTGACAACCAGGAGTCTAAGACTGACGCCGTGACCACAAGGCACCTGTCCCATCCTCAGGGCCACTTCTCTTCTCTTTGTCTGCCTCTTGCTGTCTTCGAAACAGAGAACCAGCAAATGGAGCGGCTGTAACCTGGAAGAAAAGAGACGCTCCTAGGCCCAGAGTGCAGTTTGTACTAAGCTCTTTAAATCTGTCCTCAGCTTTGAAGTATGGCCTTCCTGCACACTGAAGCAGTGAGAAGGGAGACATGGGAGTAACGCAGTCCGCAGAGGGGTGGAGGGGCACACATTACCTGCCTCGGTGGGGACATGTCACTGAGCTCAAGTGGCTGATGGAGGGGAGGCCCACAGGGAGAGACGTACACTGCCCCATAGATGTTTAAGATGGAGAGATGTAGATCTCAGTGTTTGGCAAACCGGAAGCAGCAGGAGGAAGAGGCAAGGGGCTTCTGGGACTCTTTGCTTCCTGATCAAAGGAACAGGATGCAGTCCCTGGTCGGCTCCTCACCCTCTTCTCTGTGCCTGGAATGCAGACCCAGCGCTGCAAACTCAGGCAAACGTGAGAATCACAAGATGAACTGAAAATACTAAGGAGAGCAGAACAGAACGACATGAAAGAACCTGACTTTATCCTTTATTTAAAGAGAAATTCAGGGGCCGGGGATTTAGCTCAGTGGTTCCGCCGCCTGCCTAGCAAGCGCAAGGTCCCGAGTTCGATGCCTGGTACCAAAAAAAATTAAAAATGAATAAAAATAAATTCAGCACCGCGCCTGCTCCCCAAGCACAAGGTCCGGAGTTCGATCCCTGGTACCAAAAAATTAATAATAAGTAAATATAAATAAATTTAATGCCGATTTATTTGTGTGCTTTAAGTAATATTCAAAAGTCTCTTCCTTTGTTTTTTGAACTCTATGCGAAGTTACTTTTTCTGCAATTCTTCACTGAAGAGGCTCTGCAACATTCTCCACCCACTTTTTTTTTTTTTTTTTTGGTACCGGGGATCGAACTCCGGTCCTTGCGCTTGCGCAGGAGGCAGCGAAACCACTGAGCTAAATCCCCGGCCCTCTCCACCCACTTTTTATATAACATCCCTTTTCTTCTTGTTTTAAAAATGTCCAAATGCTGTAAGTATGTATCCAGTCTCTAATGGAGTGATACAAACAAAGAAAGCAAATTATTAAGAAATTTTCCCTAGAAGGTAGACTTTTAGAGATGGGGAAGGTGTTCGGGGAAAGGGGAAGAAAAGGGAGAGAGGGGTAAGAGGGATGAAATCAGTATGTTTTATGCATGTACCAATATACCAAGACGAACGTCGTTATTCTGTTACTAATATGCACCAATATGAAAAAAAAAATTTCTATTCATTATCCTTGACTACTGGGGGGACCACTTATTCCCACTCCTATACTCTCAGCCACATTTGGGCCACAAAGTTCAGCACAAGATGGTCAGATCACAGAATAAACTGCAGAAAGAGAACCTGAGCGCACAGCAAGGTGTCCTGGAAAGTTCTAGAGCACACGTGACTTCAGGTGACACTGCATCCACTCAGGAACCAGACCAGACCTCTCCTCAGCCAATCATCACTTCCTCTTAAGGGTTCCAAAGCATGCCCCCCCCCTTTCCTTCCCCGGTCTTCATCGTCAGGAGCATCCATGACTACAACGCCAGAGCAGAAAGAGCCCCAGACTGGCACTGATGCCTCCTCTCAGACTTATAAAAGCAGGCTGATCCCACTACTGCTTTTGACACTCAAATGAGAATATATGTGCACCTCCTTTATGAACTGTGAATCGCAATACAAATGCCAGAGTATTATTATAACATCAAAGTTCAGTCCCTCTTACTGAAATTCACTTCTCCCCTTAAGTTTGGTAACCCCATAGTGATTATCAGTTACTGACTGGTCACTATCCTTAAATATGAATTCATTTCTGGTGTCTAACTCAGCCCCACTGCAATGTGGGGAACACAGGAAAAAGAAGCAAGCTTTAGTAGGAAAGAATCTATTGAGTACCAGACCCCGAGGGTCTCTGGGACATAGTGTCAGGGCTCAGAGTTAGAATTAGTCCTTGAATGTTCCTCGGTGGCCCCTGTGCCGGCCCCCAGCTGATGGTGCTACCTGGAGGTGGAGGCCACGTTAGGAGGTGGGGCCAACTGGAGCTGTGTCCCAAAGGGGACAGGGGAACCGGGCCCCTGCCCACCATGGCGTGAGCAGCGCTGCTCCACTGCACGCACCGGTTCCACCCACTCACAGGCCCAGGGAGCCAAGACAGTCTCTCCCCTTCTGAAATTGTTTATCTGATCCGGACCTGGTGGCTCACGCCTGTAATCCCAGCAGGCTGGGAGGCTGAGGCAGAAGGGTTCAATATTTGAGTCCAGCTCGGCAATTTAGCAAGACTCTGGCCTTAAATTTAAAATTTAAAATTAAAAAGGGCTGGAGATTTGAAGTTTAAAAAGGGCTGGGGATGTAGTTCAGTACTAAGGCCCTGGCATCCATCCCCAGTACTACACAGTGTGGAGCCAACTCTTACCTTTACCACATGGTTTTCTCTGAATAATATCATGCGCACAGCCTGGTCAATGTCTTCTCTAGCTAATAGGTAAAGTCACAGAAGTACGTATTAGGATACAAATCCTGAAGAAACAAATCAGAATGACACACCTCAGTGCACGTTACTAATAGTTTGTGTGAATCTAATGTCTATCTCAAAGCACACATTTGTAGCTTTTTATTATGGAAATTTTCAAAAACCATTCTCCATGAAACCATTACCCAGGTCCAACAATCACCAATCACAGTTACTGTCATGCCACCTGGATCCCTGCTTATTTTCTGCTCTCCACCGGACTATGTGGAAACAAACCCTTGGCATCCTTTCATTAAATCCTTTTTTTAATACCAAGAAGCTTAATTTAAAAAGGGATCTTACACAAAATGAATCCTCTTTCCAGGCATTCATTCAGTAGGTACTCTGTGTGTGTGTGTGTGTGTGTGTTACTCAGGACTGATTTCAGGACCTCCACAGTCATTCCCAGCCCTTTTCATTTTGTATTTTGAGACAGGGTCTAAGTCATAAAGTTGCCCAGGTTCGACTTAGACTTGCAGTCCTCCTGCTTCAGCCTCCCAGAGTGCTGGTATTGCAGATGTGCACCATCATGGCTGGATTCACTTAATATGTGTTTTAGATGGTCCTAGAAGTGCCTTGTCTTATGCTAGGTCTCTGCATACATCAAAACCATAAGTTCAATTTAGTGCAAGCAATACTGAGTCTCAGAACCAGTGAGTGGTAGCTCCTGGCCTCTTCCAAACATCGTCTCCCACATAGAGATTTGCTGTTCCCATGAGTTTGGGTATAAAGCTGCCCATTTAGATCCTCACTATGGAGCTTTTTCATTTGGATCAATATGAGCTGATCTCTAGCTTTTATTCTTACATGACTAAGGAGTAACAAATGAAAAGCAGTAAAAAGCCAGTACCTAGGCCGCCTGCTGTGCAAGCGCAAGGACCCAAGTTCAATCCCCGGTACCAAAAAAAAAAAAAAGGCAGTACCTAGAAGATCCACTATTATCTAAAACAATTCTCTAATGAAAAATGATATAGGTTCTTAGAATCTTGTTTTTCAGTCTCTCTTCTTTCTATTCTGCCACATTAGCTGTATCAAAACCAAATATATCTGTGAATAAGAGAAATCTCAGAGTTGTACTCTTTTTTCAGAGTTGTACTTTTATCCATAATTTAATATCATCACATGAAATCTCTCTCTCTTTCTTCCTTCCTTTCTTTCTGAGACAGGGTCTTGCTATGGCCCTCCTGCCTCAGCCTCCTGAAAGCTGGGATTACAAGTGTGTGCCGCCACACCTGGTATGAAATCCAAAATGATATTCAAACAGATAAATGGGTCTCAAAATAAAGTTCTTTATAATATAAACAAAATTTCACCTTAAAGCCAATTCAGACTTATTTTAAAACAGCAACTAAAAAAGTCTCCAAAAACACGTTTCCCTGAAACCAAATATTATAGCTAGACTCAACCTCTCTATTTACTCAGAAAAGTAAAAGGACACAGGCTGACTAGTATCTTGGGTAATCATGTTTTTTAGCCACCCTAGTAAGTTTAGGAACAAACCCTGTATATATTATCAGCCATGTGCCAGATCTTCAAACAATTGTTTTTGTTTCAAGAAAGTGACCGGGTTTTTTTGCCTGTAATCGGGAGGTTGAGGCAGGACTGCCCTGAGTTCGAGGCCAGCCTGCATTACACTGTGAGTTTAAGGTCAGCCTGAACTACATGGCAAGATCCGGTCTCAAAAATCAAAATAAAAAAAGAAAGAGGCCGTTTTTGTCTCTGATGGCCCCTTCTCCGAAATTTTGCGGGAAAATATAAATAAAATGTTCATGATTTGTGTGCTGCCACCGCTTTCTGTGAGCACAAAAACGGTCTCACTACTCCTACTTCCAGCACGATAAATGGGGCAAAATAAAGGAAATCTGCGAGAACTTTTCTTTGCCGACCACGGGATCCCGCAAAAGAAGGCTGGGGAGGAGCCGCTGCCAGCCCTAGGGGAGGCCGGGCTCCCCCCGCAGGCCTGGCGTCGGCGGAGGCCCAGCGCAGCTTCGCCTCCATCCCGGAAACGGACACGGGGCCCGGCCAGGCCTTCAGTGTCGCAGGCCTGAAATGTTCGCAACAGCGGGGCCCCTTCGCGGAGGCCCTGGAGAGACAGAGCGGTCCCTGCGCGAGGAAAGGAAACCGAGGCGCCGGCCGGGTGCGGTCCGCGTGGCCCGGTGGCGGTGAGCACCGCTCTGGGCGGCCTGCTGCCGTGCGCGCTGTTTCGCTTCCTTCACGGACGGAGGGAGGGAGGGCCTGCGGGGGAACAGGAGAGAGAATTCGCTGCTTGTCAGACGGAGGCTACAGCCGGAAGAAAGGACTGGTTTTCAGAGACAGATCTGTGCGCCGCCCCCCCCCCCCCAACGGGGGACTGAATCCAAGGCCTTCGCCCGAGCTACATCCCCGGGCTTTTTATTTTGAGACAATCTTCTGGTCCCTAAGCTGCCCTTGGGGCACTGGAATTTATTTGCCGCCCTCCTGCCTCAGCCTCCCACAGGGCCGGGACTGCCCGGGGTCACCAGGCCAGGCTTCAGGCTTCTTTCGGGTGCCTTGGGTTGACTATGGAGCTGCGATCCATGAACTCTGCTTGGTTTTTGATTCGAAGAAACAACTCCTAAGAACACTGGAGGCAATAAGGGAAAGGTGAAAGAGGCCAAGTGTTCAGGGAGGCGGAGGCACTGCTGTGAACGTGGTAAGCCAGGGGGATGCTGGCGTTGTCATCACAAAGCAGAAGCGTGCTGAAGTGTGTAGGGAAAGTAACCCCGGAGGTAGTGTAGATTAGGATTAAACAAGATGTGATCCATATTCTTTTCTCTGTTTTGTATGCGCTTGAAATTTTCCATAATAAAAAGGGGCTGTTTTTTTTTAAGTACATAATACATACTCCAACCTTTCATTTTTCAACTTTTCTTTCTTGAGTCAAGGGAAAGTAAACAGAAAAAAAAAAAAGGTTTTGTTAGGTTTTTTGTTAGGTTTAAATTCTAATGTACACGTCTGTTTTTGTACTGGCACCGTGCTGTTTTTATCACTGTAGCTTTGTAATATAATTTGAAGTCTGGGATTGTGATGCCTTCTGCGTTGATATTGTGGCTGAGGACTGTTCTTTGCTATTCTGGGATTCTTCTGCTTTTTCTGGATTTTAGGATGGTTTTCTGTAGTTCTGTGAGGAATGCTATTGGCATTTTGTTTGGGATTGCATTAAACCTGTATGTCAGTTTTAGAGGTATGGCCATTTTGACTATATTGGTGTTACCTAAGCAGGAACAGGGATATCTTTTATTTTCTGTTATCCTCTTCAGGCTCCTTTTTCAGGGCACTGTAGTTTTTTGTTGTAGAAGTCTTTCACCTCCTTGGTTAGGTTAATTCCTAAGTATTTAATTTTTCTTGACGCTATCGTGAATGGTATCGTTTTCCTAATGTCTTTCTCAGTGAATTTATTACTGCTCTACAGGAACAATATTGAATTTTGTGTGTTGATTTTGTATCCTGGTACACTACTGGATATGGTATTTAATTCTAGGATTCTTGTAGTGAAACTTTTGGAACCATCTATGTGAGCATCATATAATCTGTGAATAATGATAGGTTGAGCTCTTCCTTTTCTACATATATCCTTTTTATTTCTTTCTCTTGCCTGATTGCTCTGGCTAATGTTTCAAGTACTGTATTGAACAGGAGTGGTGACAGTGGATATCCTTGTCTTGTTTCTGATTTTAGAGGGAAACCATTCAGCTTTTCCCTATTTAATATGTTGTTGGCAGTAGGTTTGTCATAAATGGCTTTTATCAGATTGCAATGAGGTCCATCTGTACCTATTTTCTTCAGGGTCTTTATAATCATGAATGGATATTGGATATTGTCAAATGTTTTGTGTCGGCCAATTGAGGTGATCATGTGATTTTTGTCCTTGCTTCTCTTTATGTGATGTATTACTTTTATTGATTTGCCCATGTTGAACCAGCCTTGCATCCCTAGTATGAAACCTACTTGGTCATGATGTGTGATCTTTTTGATGATTTGTTTGCCAGTGTCTTGTTGATTTTGCATCTATTTTCATTAAAGAGATTGGCCTCTAGTTCTCTTTTTCACTTGGGTCCTTGTCTGGTTTTGGAATCAGGGTAATACTAGCTTCTAGGAAATGATTTAGGGAGTATTCCTTCCCTTTCAATTTCATTAAACAGTCTGAGAAGTATTGATGTTAGGTCTTCCCTAAAGTTCTTGCAGAATTTAGCAATGAATCCATCAGCTCCTGAGCATTTTCTTAGTTGGTAGTCTTTAAATTATTTTTATTACTGCTTCAATTTTATTGCCTGTTTTGGGGTTATTTGGAGTTTTTATATCTTCTTGGTTCAGTTTTGGCAATTCATCTGTATCTAAGAATCTGTCCATGTCTTACGGATTCTCCAATTTATTGAAGTACAGGTTTTTAAAATATTAACTAGGGTTTTTTTCAAAGTAATTACTAATAACCTGGATTTCAGTGATGTCTCTTGTGATTTCACCTTTTTTCCTTTTTAATTGGATGATTTGTGTCTTACACCTTTTTTGATGAGTATCTAAATGTCTATTTGGTTTATTCTTTCAAAGAACCAGCTCTTTGCTTCATTCTTTGTATTTTTAACCTCAATTTTATTAATATCTGCTCTTTTATAATTTCCTTCCTTGTACTAGTTTTGGATTTGTATTGTTTTTGTTTTCTAGGACCTTGAGGTGCATGATTAGGTTATTTGGCCTCACTCTGTTTTGCTGATGTAGGCATTCAAAGTTATAAACTTCCCTCTTAAGACTGCTTTCATTATGTCCCATAGGTTCTGGTATGTTTTATTGGGTTTTGTTTTTTGTGTTTTTGGATTTTTTGGTACCAGGGATTGAACTTGGGTCCTTGCGCTTGCAAGGCAGGCGGCATAACCACTGAGCTAAATCCCCAGCCCAGTTTTGGTATGTTTTAATAACATTATCATTTAATTCTAGAAACTTTATTTCTTCCTTAATTTCTTCTGTGATCCATTGATTATTCAAGAGTGTGCTGTTTAATTTCCATGTGTTTGCATAATTTCTGTGGTTACTTTTTCCATTGGTTTCTAGTTTTATTGCACTATGATATGATAATATGCATGGGCTGTTTGATTCTTTTGTATTTACTTAAAATGTGCTTTATGGGCTACTACTATGTGGTCTATTTTGGAGGAAGTTCCACCTGCTACTGAGAAGAGTGTCCATTATGTTTTTGTTGGGTGGAACACTCTGTAAATATCTATTAAGTCCATTTGTTCAAAGGTTTGGTTCAAATCTGATATTTGATATTTTGTCTAGTTTATCTGTATATTTGTGACAGTGGGATATTGAAGTCCCCCACTATAAATGTGTTGATGTTTATCTGATTTTTTATGTCCATCAGTATTTGTTTTATGAAGTTAGGTGCACCAGTGTTTGCTGTATATATGTTTATAATTGTTATCTTTTCTGTTGAATTGTTCCCTTAGCCACTATGTACTGACCTTTTTGTCTCTTCTGATAAATTTTGGGTTGAACTCCACTTTGTCTGAAAATAGAATAGTTACTCCTGCTTGTTTTCAGGTTCCTGTTGTATGGAATATTGTTTGCTACCACTTGATTTTTTAGTCTGTAAATTTTTTTATTACATGTTTCTCGCATATAGCATCCTGTTGGGCTTTGTTTTTTGACCCATTTTGTAAACCTGTGTCTTCTGACTGAGAAACTGAGACCACTCCCCATTGAGAGTTATTACTGAAAGATACTGACTTATTCTTGTCATTACATTATTTTTCTGTTGATCATTCCATTTTTTCTCCCTTCTGCTTAAGTGTTCACCCTGCCTGGTATAGTTATTCTACTAAACTTTTTAGCATTGTTGGCTTATCTCTTTCTAGGATATCCTTGTGAATTTTTTGGAGTATTGATCTGGGGGTCAAGAATTTAAGGTGCTGTTTGTCATGGAAATATTTCATTTCTCCATCAACTTTGAGAAACAGTTTTGCAGGATATATCAGTCTGAGTTGGAAATTGTTTTCTTTCTTTCTTTCTTTTTCTTTTTCTTTTTTGGTAAAGGGGATTGAACTCAGGACCTTGCTTTTGTGAGGCAGGCGCAGTGCCACTGAGCTAAATCCCCAGCCCCTGAAAATTGTTTTTTTTTTAGGGCTTGAAACACTTCACTCCAAGCTCTCTCAGCCTTTAAAGTTGGTATTGAGAAGTCTGCTGTATTCTAATGGGTTACCTTTGTAAGTAATTTGTTGCTTTTCTCTAATAGCTTTTAAGATTTTGTCCTTATGTTCAACTTCTGGGATTTTTGACTATGTGATGTAGAGCTGTTCTTTTCTCATCATGGCTATTTGAGGTTTCTATATGCCTCATTTATCTATCTGTTAAATTCTTCCCCCATACTTGGAAAGTTTTCTGCTATTATTATCTGTAAATAGGTTTTCTATGCCATTTGGGCTGTCTTGATTTTTCAATAATTCCTATTAATCTTAGTCTTCTTTGAGTCATCCAGCATCTGTTCAATCCATTTTTCATGTTCTTTTGTTGTTACTGTTGTTTTGTTCTGTTTTTGTGTTTTTTGAGACAGGGTCTTGCTATGTAGTTCAGGCTGGCCTTGAACTCACTATTTAGCCCTGGCTGGCATCAAACTCATAGCAATCCTCCTGCCTCAGCCTTCGAAGTGCTGAAATTACAGGTGTGCACCCCCACACCCAGATTTTTTGTTGTTTTTCCAGTATCTCTGAGTATGTGGCCACTGGCATCAACCTTATCTTCCAGTTATGATACTCTTTTCTCACAATGGTCACTTCAATTGCCCATACTTTCAAAAGAATTTTTAATCTCCTGGATTTCTATTTGGTATCTTTTCATGGACTCCAATTCTTTGCTGAACTGGTCATTCATGTTTTGTATCATTTTGTTTAGCTCATCTGGCTTCTTATTTGTGTCTTCTATAAGCTCGTTGTTTTTATTAAGTCTATTATGTGTTTGGTTATATCTTCTGTGAGCTTGCTGAGCACCTTATTGATCTGTTTCTTTAAACTCCTCTTTTATCTTTTCAAATAATTCATTTTGGGCTGGGGATTTAGCTCAGTGGTTCTGCCGCCTGCCTTGCAAGCGGAAGGACCGGAGTTCGATCCCCGGTACCAAAAAAAAAAGAAAAAAAATCAAATAATTCATTTGTGTAGCTTTTGATTTCCACCCCCTCAATGCTCCATGGATCAGCTTTGGGAGATTCGGGAGTTTTTAGTGATATTCTCTTGGCTTGTCTTTTCATGTTTTTTGTTTTTCGTGCTGAGGTTGGGAGGTTGATTATATTGGAAAGACTTTATTGCTCATATGAAGATCTCTTTAGTTAGTGTCTGCTTTTCAGTGATGCACTCTGATCATGATTAACCATAGGCCTTTCCCTCTGTCCCAAGATCCAACTCTTTCCATTAATTTTGGAAGGGAGGTGGCGGTGTAATTGGCCTAGCACATTGTTATCCAGGAAAGGACCACAATATTTTTGACACAAAAAAAATCCAGATATTGGCATCCAGAGAAAACCAATTAATAGCAATACTATGCCACCCTGGCAATAGTAACAAAATTAGCAACAATAATAGTCAAAGGACAAACTGGATATTGACATATCATAAGGATTAATAATGTGCCACCCTTAACCCACAGAAAAGAGATCTATAATCATAGCATAAACACAAAGACAAACCAAATATTACATACATACAATACATATCTACTAAATGCAACTTTTACCTCCCCTAACAATAGAAAAGAACTACAACAGCAATAGCATAGTGGTAACTATCTAAAGATTAATAAAGTTTAATGGTTATACTAGTAAAGATAGAGGGTTAGAGAACAGGAGAATGAAAGAAATAAAATTTGAAAAATAAAAGAAGGAAAGCAGAAAAGTGACATAAAGGATCCTATTAAGGAGTAAAAGGAAATTACCAAAATTAGATTAAAAAAAAACAGAAAATAAAAAAAATAAAAGAGACAAAAAATGAAAAAATAAAGAGGAAAAAAAAGAAATGAGTTGAAAAATAAATCCCTCTTGGGCTGGGTATGTGGCTCAGTGGCACAGCGAGTGGCACACTGGCCTGTCCAGTACCAAAAAAAAAAAATCCCTCTGTTTGGGAATGAATGGGTCTTTTCTTTCCAGGGTCTGCAGTCTGGAATCCAACCAATATGCAGGAGGGGTGGTGAGTCACTGCTAAGATCCATTTTGTTGCCACACTCATGGTTTTTGGGTTAAAGCCAGATCCTACCCTGCCTTTCCTGCTGGAGGTGGGCAGTCAGTGCTGTCCATCCTAAGGCTACAGTCACTCTGGCAGGTCCCACTTTCCATGTCCCTCTGTGTACCCCAAGTCATGGTTTTCTCTGCCTAGCTTTACAGCCTGTGGGTCTGAGGTGTACCCATGCTCCAGAGCCCCTCTGTCCATGCACCCCAGGCCATGGCAACCAGCCAAGCTAAGCAGTACCTTTGTTCACATTGGTAGATGGGGGAAGCAAATAGACTACTGAGTTCTGTGCTGGACGTAAGCCGCTAGGGGAGTGGGAGTAGGTCAAGCAATCTACTGGATATACTGCCGGCACTTTCATACCCAGCCTCCTCTGGAACCCAAACACACCCAGGTTGGCTTCCCACCACAAAAGATGGGGCTCCCTCATCATTCCTAGCCTGAATTTAAACTTCTCAGGGAGTCAATGTGCAGCCCATGTCCTCTCCACAAATGCCTGCCATGGCCATCTCCCACCCAGTCACTGTGGTAGAGCAACACCAGAAACCCTATACAGTATAGCTGCCCTGCAGTTGCTCTGAGGTCCCAAACAACCCCTGCCCAAAATGGCTCCTTCTCAAATATGTTGTGCATTGCACTGTGCTTCCTCCCCAGCTCCAGCCTTCTTTGAGGAAGGAGTCACTTTCAGAGTAAAATGCCATGTTGTTTCTACAGTTTGGAGTGGCTATGGGCTTCAACCAGCACTAGCAGCCAGGCTGATTTCTCTCCCTGAAACCACTGTCCCTCTCTGGGCTTACCAAGCAGAAGCAGGTCTCCCTGGAATCCAGAGCCAGCCTTCCAGACTGCCTCGTTCCTTTCTCTGCACTGTGCTCTGTGACCCCAGCTTCTCTGCAGTTTTGTCTTCCTTGCTGCTTCCTCCCAGTTCCAAGAGATTCACTTCTTTCTTTCCCTTCACAGGTGTCTAGACTCCAGGTTCTGGAGAAGGCACACTTTACTGCTAGTCTCTACTCTATCTTCCACCTATTTTTTTTCATTTGTTTCAAGTGTTTTCATCCTTTCTTACTGAAATATTTTTTTTCATTGCAACTTTAAAATCTTGGTCAGATTAAGCTGACAGCTCAGTGATCTTGGTGTTGGCCTTTATTGACTTCCTTTATCCATTCAATTTGAAGTCTTCATGGTTCTTGGCATAATTTTTCATTGAAGCCCAGTCATTTTCATATGGCTTAAACTACATATTTAATATAAATAAAAGGTGATTCATGATAGAATTATCATTTTGATGTAGTTGTTCCCTTATTTCACTTAAAAATGACTTCTTCCTTGATTTACTTATTTGAATTTTTTCAATATCATATGATTTAAAACATCACCTGAGCATTTCTCTCTTTGCTTGATGTTCCTAGGCAACATGGTCCTTCACTGAGTCTTCACCAGGCTCTTGCTTCTCTTTACGGCCCAACTCAGTCAGTGATGTTATAGTATTAAAATCTTTCGTTTACTGTGTGTTTCTTCCACTAACTCTAGGGCAAGAGGACCTGTGTCTGTTCACCTTATAGCCCCAGAACTAGTATTTGGGGGGGAAGTAGGTACTTAAAATACTGTACTTATAAAGTGAATAGTAAATGGATGAACAGATAAATAAGTAAGACATAATTCTGCCTTCTACATGAAATGAAGTTTATTTAAATAATAAAATGTATTTTAGAGACCGGAGGCTTCTCTAAGAGAGATCAAATCTTTTGAAGTTTTTCAGCAGGTCTCTGGTTGCCATTTTAGCCTAGCTTTTATTTTTATTCATTTGTAACTGTAACAGAAAAAAGCATTTCTATACAAAAAAATTTTTTAAATCAAAAAGTCTGTGTTATTTGTGAAATTATTTATCTTAAGAACCAACCTGCACTTAGATTTCTGTTTTTAAAATTTGCAATAGATTTAGGCTGCCTTTATAGATTTCTGGAATGCCCAAAATTTAGTCACCTGCACAGAAAAACTGCAGTGGAGTAGGCACTGATGAGTGATGAAACAGAACTCGGCTCATTTTACTTTTCTTTTTACTTTTCTCCTTTCAGAAAAAAATCAAGGTGAAGTAACCGATATTCCTTTCATGTTGATGTGATTTCTACAAGTCTCATTTGGCTGATGAGGAAATATGTAAGGAAAAGCTCTAAAAACTAGTATTTAAAAATCCTTCAGAACCAGGTATTTAGCTCAGTGGTTCTGCTGCCTGCCTCATAAGCGCAAGGTCCCGAGTTTGATCCCTGGTATCAAAAAAATCCTTCAGGATCTCTCCATGAATCCCAAAACCCTTAGCATGATCTCTAAGACCCTTGCCTGCCTTTTTGGTTTCAGCTTTCTTCCTTGACTCCCGCAGTCCTTGCTCCACTTAGTGGACATTTAGTGATGCCCATCTGTAGTGAATCCCTGACTGTACTCACAGAAGTGGACTCCTGATGGCAGGGCCTCCTGTGTGACCTTGCTCTTGACCATGACTAGTTGGTCAAATGGTGCACACCTTACCCAGGCTGGAATCAGATTCTCCCAGCTTTCTTCTAGGATTGTAGGCTTCTGAACCAAAACTCAGGTATTTGAGTCATGTTCATGACAGCAGTCTAAAAGTAGGTTTGAGATTTCTTGCTGTTTGGGACCCAGCAAGGATTCTAGGAGACACCTGAGTATTCTTCCAGTGGATTCTATCTTTGATTAAGTTAGTTCTAATTTGCTTGTTACTTACAAGACAAAGTACCCTAATTAGTAAAGCCCGTCAGAGGAAATATGAGTTATCTGGAATTGCTGTTTGTGTCCAAGTACAGAAAGGGAAAGGAGTTCGTTCTCTACCATCTGAAATGGGAAACTATAACTGTGATATTACATCAGGAATTTTTTTCATAATCATTCAGTTAGGGTTGAGAAGTATGAATATAAAAAGCAAGACTAGCCATGAGGTGATCATTATTGAAGCTGGATGATGGATACATAGGGATTCATTATACAATTACCTCTATTTATATAAAATTTTCTGAAATTCTCTATAATCTTTTTTTTTTTTTTTGGTACCAGGGATCGAGCTCGGGTCCTTCCGCTTGCAAGGCAGGTGGCAGAACCACTGAGCTAAATCCCCAGCCCTCTATAATCTTTTTAAAAATTAATTGTTATAGGGCCAGGGGTTTAGCTCAGTGGTTCTGGCACCTGCCTCACAAGCACAAGGACCCGAGTTCCATCCCCGGTACCAAAAAAAAAAAAAAAATTAATTAATTGTTGTTGTTGTTACGGGGGATCGAACTCGGGACCTTCCACTTGGAAGGCAGGTGGCGGAACCACTGAGCTAATTTCCGGCCCCCAAAATTAAGAATTTTTACTTGGAACCATATGCTGATTATAGATAAGACATAAAAAGACTGGATAACTGTCATAGTAGAATAATTTTAAATGGATAATGAATATGAGAAGAGCAAATAAAATGGATAAAGCAAGAAAATAAAAAATCTCCAAAATGCTGGAGTCAAGGCATAAAAATACAGGGTCCATTTTGAATAACCCCATTCTGTCTATGGTTCATAGATGTATAAATTGATCATGTAGGTTGCTGAATTACAACTCTTATTGGATTAACAAGGATGCCAGTTTTCTGTTTGTTTTTCATGGAAGTTAGGGCATTTTATGTAGGAAATACAGCACTCTTGACAATTATATTGTATGTGGGGCAGACAGACTGAAAAATTCAGCATCTTCCAGTTCTTAACAAAGTCCCATGGGGGCCGGGGATGTAGCTCAGCTACGCAGTGCCTGCTTAGCAAGCATGAGGCCCTGAGTTCGATTCCCAATGCCAAAACAAAAAGTTCCATGGGGTCCCCTTTGCCTAAGAAAAACAAAATTCTGTTCCCTCACGCTCTGTGTCCTAGGATTGAAACTCAGTATGAGCCAGAGGGTGATGTTTGCAATAAGAATCAGAATGTGAATGATGCCCAAAATGAATTCTTAAATTTTCCAAAGAATCTTGGAAAAGCCTGGGGAGGATATTGGATGTGGATTTTAAGAGTACCTGCCCAAAGGAAGCATGCCTTAATTTAGGAACAAACCTAAGGAACTGAGACAGGGACTCACTAAGATTGCTATTATTTTTATTGAACCTCTCAGCAATATTTTTTAACTCCTAGGGAAAATACATTTGTAGTAACTGTCAATACATGGTTTTGCCTTTTCCTTATTATCATAGGCACTAGACTCAAAAAGTAAATGAAGTTTATTGCAGATGCTTTTTCTTAGAGACAGAACACTTCCTAAGTGCCTTCTCCAACCCTACCCCGAAGGATTCCTGCTAGCAGATTAACTTCCTTGGGAGCGGCCTTCTTTTGGGTCCCATTTCACAGGTCAGGTATCAGGATATGTGGTCCTTGGTTGCTGAAACCTTTTGAAAGTGACAAAAGAAAAGAGTGGAATGTGATACAGGAAGAGATGCTTGCAAGAGCAGAAAGAGGTCTCCAGCTAAGCTGAGCTGATTCCCTGAAGCCTGGTTCTGCCAAAGTTTCATGGCTCATCTCACAGGCTGGTTCTCCACCTAAACCTCCTGCCTAAGCCTTACCTTGCTGTCTAGATCCAGGAACACCCGAGACGCAGGGACAGAGCCAACCTCATCATGGATGGAGTAGGACCCCTGATGATTCTGCTTCCAGATGTCAACATGCTGTGTATTCAGATCCCTGTGATCTAGAAAATACTGGATTTCCTTCCTTCCTTTCTCTCTTTAAACTTCTAAAACTCTTTCACCTACCAGCCAATGACTTTTTTTCACTTCACTGAGAAACTGAAGTAAACAATTTTCTTCATAAAATTCACCGAGCTGCTTCCTGTACATCCGTGTTCTCTGACTTCCCTCCTCCTTCCCTGCAGATTGTTCTAACCTCCATTAGTCTTGGATCCCACCCTTGGCCTCCTGAAGGACTCCATTCTTGCCATCACCCCCCAGTGTCATCTCTCTCTACTGATTCATCAGGAAACGCAGCTGAGGAAAACCTTTCCATGTCCCTGCCCTCTCCAGTCTCCTTCCCATCCCCCCGGTACTGGGGATCAAACTCAGGACCTTGTGCTTGCGAGGCAGGTGTGGAGCCACTGAGCTAAACTCCCGGCCCTAGACTCCCTCCCATCTTGCTGCTCCTTTACAGTAAAATCCCAGAGGGGCTGCCTAGTCTCACTGTCTCTACATCCTCACCCCAGTCTCTCTTGAATCTGCTCTAATCAGGCTTTCACTCCAAAGACTCCACAGTAACCTGGCTGCTGAAAATTACTGCTTAACCTCTACATCTCGCTAAACACAGAACCTTTGTTTTGTTTTGCTTGCCCTCTCACCAGTACTGTGATGTGGTTGATCACAGCCTTTTTAACTTTTTTTTTTCTGGTACTGGGGATCAAACTCAGGACCTTGTGCTTTCGAGGCAGGTGGCAGCACCACTGAGCTAAATCCCCGGCCCCAATCATAGCCTTTTTAGTGGAGCACTTTCTTTATTAAGTTTCTACAATACCAGACTCCTTGTGCCTTTTTTGTTGTTGTTTTTGTACTGAGGATCAAACGCACAAGTCCTCTGACACTGGGCTACACCTGTAGTTCTTTTATTCTGAGGTAGGGTGTTGCTGAGTTGCCCAGGCAAGACTTGAACTTGTAATGCTCCTGCCTCAGCCTCCCAAAGTGCCAGGATTACAGTAGTGTACCACCATGCCCACCACTCTTGTGCTTTTCTTCCTTCCTTGCTAGCCATGCCCTCCTTTCACGCTCTCTTGCTGCTCCCCCCTTCCTGTGCAGTCTCTCAGCCTTGGAGTTAGTTCTCAGGACCAGGCAATCCCAGGTGGTCTCATAATGTCAGTGAACAGCAGCTCCCCAAGGGTGACTGAAGTACACAGCTGGACCCCAGGCTTGCCCCGACCTGCAGACTGTGTGCATCCAGTGCCTACTCACAGCTCCTCTGGGGTGCTGACTGGATGAGCGCAGGGAGCCAAAGTGCACCTGATTTCTGTCGGTATCTCTTAGCCAACAGATACTAGGCTTCAAAGTGAGGAGTGGAGACCACTCTTCAGGACAAAGAGGAAGTCAAACTGCAAACTGATTTTTGTGATTTTTAACCACTTATTTACAGTAGGAGTAAAAAGGTTGGGAGTTTAAAAGAAGAAGAGGGATTGTGTATTTGTTTGTTTTCTTTTTGCAAAAGTCAGTGTTTTGTGAGTCCCTCCCTCCATCAACACCAAAAGGAAGGGGAAGGAGAACTTCCTCTGCTTGGGATTGCAGCTATGCAGAGAACTGCAATCAGACCCACTGCTTTAAAAATTAAGACTCAGCTGCCCAGAATGGCCATGCAGCAGGCAGGGGGCTGCTGTGAAGAAAGACCCTGCAGCCCTATAACAGGTCAGGCGACAAGGGCCTGTGTTGAGAAAATGACTCCAGTCCTGATGCCTTGGACCCTGCCTGGAGGAGCAAGAGGATCCCTGCATGGTGGAGCTGTGAGGGTTCCACCACAAGTGTGGGCCAGAGGCAGCCAAAAGCAACAGCTGGAAAAGAATCTTCCAGTGAGAGATCCCCAGCAGAGGAATTTTCTTTGAAGATGACTTGAAAGTGCCCATGACAGAAAATGCCAGCTTTCAACACCTGGAGGTGTCAGAGGTGTCTAGAGGATCCTTTGCAGGTGAAACAGGTTATCACAGAATTACCAGGTGAGAAGTGTCCTGCTCTCATTATCCGTTTCCCCTCTCTCTCCCACTAGGACTCTGAAGAGACAGGAAATCAATCCAGCAAGATGCAGAGGTAGGGACAGAGAGAAGACAGCTACTCCACTCTGCTCTCCTGCAGGGCCAGGGAGACCTTAGGTGAAGACTTTCTATTTGTAAAGCCAGACCATCTTTATCATCTGAGCACATCGAAATAGACAGCAAGGAAAAAAGTTAAGTTGCTTTATAATCACCCTCCAAGTGCTCCTGGTGTACTGTTACAGAGACAGGTACCTTGAATTTAGCTACAAAAAGGATTATTAGTTTTGCACTTTCCTGAATTCATCTTAAACTTCTCTGCCTGGTGAGTAGCACCATAAGCCAGTGCGGCCCCTCAGGACAGAAATCTAAGAGTCCAGTCATCTTGAATTTTTCTGTCAAATATGAGCAAGCTCTGTTGGCTCATTCACTTCTGAGTTCCACACACTGCAGGCTCAGCCCACTGTGCTCTGTCCTGGCCTGGAGCTCTGGCCCCTAACTGCTCTCCCAGCTTCTGCTTCTGCTGCTGTATGATCTGTTCTACAGCAGCCATATTCTTTTTTCACAATGTTCTTTAGATCACATTTCTCCCCTGCTCAAAACCTCTGAATGAGCCAGGCATGATCACACACACCTGTAATCCCAGAACACAGGAGGCTAAGGCGGGAAGATCACATGTTTGAGGCCAGCCTGGGCTGCATGAATGCTGAGAGACTCACAAAACACTTTCCAATGGCTTGCCCTCTCACTCTGTATTCTGTTGTGGCCTCTGACCCCGTCGGACTGGGCCCAGCCTTCTTCCCAGCCTTGCTGGCTGCCTTTCTTTCCACACCCGCTGCACTACAGTCCCACCGACTTTTTCTTGCTGTTTCCCGAACACGCCAACCTTGTTCCCACCTGTGACTCTTCCCCAAGATCTCTCCACAGCTCACCCTCAATTCCTTACGTCACTGCACAAATGTCACCTCTTCAGAGAAGCCTTCTCTGACATCTTCACTCCCAACAGTGCCCACATGTGCGCCCAACACTGCTGCCCTCTTTCCCTGTTCTGTGTGTCTCACTGCACTTACTCCTAACTAGCAGGATGTTATGTATTTGTTTAGTTACTGTGTGTCTCCCCCATGGAAACAGAAGCTCCATAGGACCAGAGACTTCTCTGTTTTGTTCACAAAAGGAGTAGCAAAATGGAGAAACAAGAAGGGAGGCAGATGGACAGACTGACTATGGATCAAGACACCGGCCCTTCACATAATCCTGTCTAACTAGGAGCAGGGAGCAGGACACAAAGTAGGGACTTCTCTAAAGCCACTGGTAAGAGGCTGTCTCCAGAGCACTTGGACTCATGGGGTGAAAGAGAGCTGAGGGGAGAAACACCACCTAGACCTGGAAGCAGCAGCCTGGGCTGCCTGTCAAATGACCACCAGGTTTAACTGTAGTTACCTCAGGATGAGAAATCTGGACTCGGTAGATAACTATATTCCCACGCATTTTACATTTGGGGCTTTTACTTCTTAAATTTTATTACTTTAATTTGGTATTGGTCCTTTTTTTTTTTTTTGTAGTCCAGCCTGGCCTTGAACTCACTATGTAGCTCAGGCTGGGCTCAAACTTACAATGATCCTCCTGCCTTAGCTTCCCTAGTGCAGGGATCACAGGCATGTGCCACCAGGCCCAGCTCAGTATTGGTCCTTCTAAAAAAATTTTTTTTTGAGACAAAGTCTCACTATGCAGTTCAGGCTGGCCTTGAACTCACTATATAGCTCAGGCTGGCCTCAAATTTGCAGCAACCCCATGCCTCAACCTCCTGAGTGCTGTGATGACAGGCATGTGCCACTATGCCCTACCAACTGTCCTGACTGAATTAAGGGGAACAAAATTTTGGGCCTGGCTTGGATATAAGTAGCAAATAGTGGCGAGATGGTAGAAAGCTAGGTGAAAACTCAGTAGCTGGAGAGATCCTAGACCGTCCAGGACCCCTCTATGGTGCAGCTCTCTCCATCCCCTCTGAATACAGGTCACCTGCCTCTACTCTGCCCTCCACTGCCTCCCCTCATCTCAGAAGCCTGCTATACCAACCAGCCCCCCGCAGCGGAGACTGTGGTGTCACCTGCTGCCTTGCAGTGCCCCAGCTCTCACCAGGACCTCGTCTGCAGCCCTTTCTCCTTCCTGCTGAGGTCCAGTGAACACAAGTACCCTTCAGAGTTGGTCTCTTTGGGACTTGGGCTCTTTCCCTCCTGATAACTGAGAGGTTCTTTTTCCAGGAAGGATGGCCCTTTGTTTCTGTAGGGAAAAACAGGAAAGGAAGGAATTCTCTTAACTCCACTCAATTGTAGCACTTAATATTTGTATTTAAATACCATTTAAATATTTGATTTAAATTTGAAATTAATGAGCTATAAATTACATGTTTTAATGAAAAGAAACACAAATTAATAGAATTACCTTGCTCTTATATTATTTTTCTATTTTATTAGTGTATGTTTGAGATATATAATAACTACATTCATCTTGGGGAACTGTTACATGTACACATCATATTATTTTAACCTGAAGTCAACAAAGAGAAGTGAATGAACCCCTTGCAGAGCTGTCTAGTTTGTGATCGAACTCGGTACCTTGCATTTGCAAGGCAGGCGCAGCACCACTGAGCTAAATCCCCAGCCCACAAACTTCATTTTTAATACTCCAATGCAACTAAAAATCTCTTGAACATTAACTTTAGTACAAGTTGTCAACCACTTTTTTCTCTTGTCTGTGCCTGTCACTTCTGTGCTTTTTTCTTCCTTAAAACCAGAAAAGCCTGAGGAAAGTTGTTCTTCACCCAGAATCAGTGGGAGGAGCTCCCTGATCATCAGGCCACAAGGAAGCCTGTGAGGCCTTGGCAGCAACTCCCGGATTTTGAAAGGATGGCAGAGGATGGCAACATGGCCAAGCATCTGAGAGGAAGGGGCAGTACAGTGTAGAATAACCGGCCTACCTGCAAGGAACTGCTTTTCCTGCCTCCTGGGATTCCAGAAGACAAGGAGCTCTTGACAAGGGTTTCCACTCAAAACTACTATCATTAAAATTCACTTTCACTTTTAACCTTTAATGAGAGAACATATGTGAGGATGTTTTGAAAATACTAGCTTCCAATTGTGCAAAAATTACTGTTATACCCTGATATATATAGATATATAGATATATATAGATATATAGATATATAGATATTCCCCCCACCCCAAATCACCCTTACATCAAACCAATATACTTCTTGGATGAAATTAGTTGTTTAAGAGTTTTTGAAACCATAATAGAGATTGATATATTACATTCACTGAGAACAAAGAATCACCCAGGCAAAGGTTAAACCGATCCCTACACTCTGGGAGCTTATACCACAATATAAAAAGAATCCAGACACCGTGTCATTTACAAACATAAATATAAAATGATTGTCCCCAGAAAGAAATGAATACTACATTTCCCCATCTTCCTTGCCGAAAAAGTGCTATAGATGCTTTGAGGCTGGCACCCACGCAAGAGTTAATTGGAAGGGTGACTTCTGCCCTGTGTAGAGCACACATTTAGAAATCTATAAAACATTTAAAGAAGGAAAAGATTCAATCACCAAGGTAAGAAAGCAGGAAGAATTTATCAGGAATGAAAAAGCATACTAGGAGGGAAAAGGAAATTTAAGAAATTAAAATTTTAATATTTAACACTGTGAAGAAAGAATTAGAAAACTGGAAAATATATCCAAATAAATTGCATAAGGAAATGGGAAATGTGAAGAACATATCAGAATTAATGTGTGTGTGTAATGAGCCAGAGGCAGGCTGGAAATAATGGGGGGGGGTTATTTAAAGCAATCATTGATGTGTATTTTTCTGATCTGATGAAAACCACGAATAGAGACATCTAGAAAGAACAATATGCCAATGGGTTAAATAAAAATCTATACATATACACCTGTGGAGGGAATACAGAACACTAAAAACAAAGAGAATGTCTTAAAAGCAACCACAAGGAAAGGACCAAAAAATCAGAATGAGAGCAGACTTCTCAAAAACAACAGAAGCCAAGAACACAGGAACTATCTTTTTAAAACATTAAGATAGGGCCGGGAAGCTCAAGGACCCTAGTTCGATCCCCGGTACCAAAAAAAAAACATTAAGAGGAAAAAAATGTCAGCCTAGAATTGTGTCTTCAGTCACTTATCTTTAAAGAATGAAGGTAAAATAAGGAGATTTCAGATAAAAAAATTAATTTGGGGGCAAGAGAGACTCGAGCATCCCAATAATTCCAGTTCACTCTGAGCTGCTGCCAGAGATGTTACCAGGCAGGGGTCCCAGGATCTCTGGGCCTGAGAGCTGGCTCTCTGCTCCTCCTGCTCCTCAGATTCTGGAGACCCCCCCCCCAACCTGGCAAGAAGCCTGGGCACTGACCCCATGGCCTGGAATCAGTTAAGATTACTCACCAAATTCTTGGGGAAAATTTTTAAATTTTTGTTTTTCTGGGTTTGTTTTTTTTTTTGTACCAGGGATTGAACAAATTTTTAAACTTTTAAATTTAAAGTTTGAACTTCAGAGCAGGGCATAGTGTTTCATGCCTGTGAACCACTCTGGGAGACTGAGGTCAGAGGATGGCAAGTTCGGGTCCAGCCTGGGTAACAGCAATTTAGTGAGACTGTGTCTCAAAATGAAAAATAAAAAGACTGGGGCTATAACTCGGTGTGAAGATCCTGGGTTCAACCCCAGTACCAAAAAGAAAAAAACAAAACAAAACAAAACGCTTAACTTCAGGAATAAGAAACATGGCCCCATAAATGTGTTACAAAACAGAAGAAATGCCAGGGATTTAGTTCAGTGGTTCCACTGCGTGCCTCGAAAGTGCAAGGTCCTGAGTTCAATCCCTAGTACCAAAAAAAAGAAAAAGAAAAACAAAAACCAGAAGAAAGGACAGGATACATATGGATTCTTTCCCCTTTGTAGCTGTTTCCCATATCTATATCTGCTACAGAACTCTTGTCTATTAATGTTTAGCAGTATGTTTCCAAACTAGAGATCATTTCTTAAATTAATAAAGTTACAAAACAACACTGATCTAAATCCCAAGAAACTGATGATTGTCCTTATTTTTCTATTCGTATCCAAGAGCTCACATCTATTTTCCATTAACGCCTCTCTCCTTTGTGCTTCCATAACAAGGTGTGCCATATCAGTATTACTGTATTTGCCAAGTTATGCTAGAATTATCTATTTAAATATCATCTATTACACTGTGAGCTCTTTAAAGGCACTTACAGCCAGGCATGGTGGCACATGCTTGTAATTCCAATTATTCAGGAAGCTGAGGCAGGAGGATCACAAATTTGAGCCCAGCCTCAACAACACAGTGAGACCCTGTCTCAAAAATTACAACTCAATGCATAATTCTTAGAATGAAGGAATTAATGTGATGTTATAGTTTGAATGAGTTCAAGTACCAACCCCTGGTATCTGTGAATGTATTTTGGAAATACATCTGTGAAATAATTTGGGAAATAGGGTTTAGTAAGCTGTGAAGAAGTAAAATGAGGTACTACCGGATCAAGGTGGGCCCTAACCCAACACAGGTGTCCTTTTAAGAAGAGGCAAATCTGGACACAGACTCAGAGCACATGAAGCTGAGGCAGAGACTGGAATCATAAAGCCAGGAACACCATGGATTGGCAGCAACTGCCAGGAGCTGGAAACAGGCAAGGAAGAACCTCCTGCAGAGTGAGCATGGCACCGCTAACTCCTTGATTTTAGACTTCTAGCTTCCAGAGCTAGAAGAATAACTTTCTGTTGTTTTAAACTACGAAGTTTAAGGGCCGGGGATGTAGCTCAGTGGCACCGAGCCTGCCTGGCAAGCAAAAAGTCCTGAGTTTGATCCCTGGTACCAGGAAAAACAAACTACTCAGTTTAAGCTTTTCTACATAGGGAGGGGAGGGGACTTGGGGTGGGGGGCTGTGAAATAAAATCAAATTCATTTAAAAAATTTTAAAAAATAAAATAAATTACTCAGTTTGTGGTGCTTCATTATTACAGCCATAGGAAACTAAGACACGATAACTCCTCAAAGCTTTGGGGGTCAGGGATAGTTCAGTGGTGAAGCAGTCATTTAGTATGTGTGAGGCCCTAGATATTCAATCCTCAACTTTGAATTCCTCTCTGGCTCATCTTTCTCCCAGGGCCTCCAAATCTAGAAACCCTTTTGTTTAGCATATTGGTCTCTTCATTCACTTTGCACCATCCTTATCACTGCAAATGTGGGTTATTATTTCTCTGCAAAACATCAAGCTGAATGTGATGGCGCATGCCTCTCATCCCAGCACTCTGGGAGGCTGAGGCAGGAGGATGGCATGTTTGAGCCCAGCCTGAGCAACTTAGCAACTTAGCAAACCTCTGTCTAAAAACGTTTTTTAAAAATTCTTCAGGAGCAGGAGATTTAGCTCAGTGGTTCCGCCGCCTGCCTTGCAAGCACAAGGACCCGAGTTCGATTGCCGGTACCAAAAAAAAACCCCCCAAAAAACAAAAAAAATAAATAAATAAATAAAATAAAAATTCTTTAGGAGCAGGGGATAGATAGCCCAGTGGTAGAGCATGGGTTTTGCATGTTCAAGGCCCCGGATTCAATTCCCAGCCTCCAAAACAAAAAACAAGCAAACAAAAATTTCTTAAATTATCTGTAGCCTCTAGTCCTACCCTTTCAAAACTATCTTACATATCACATGTCAAATTCAAGTTTCCTAAAGCACCATTTTCAGTATATCCTGACTGTCCTTCTTGACTGTCTCAATGACACCCACACCCCAAATGATAGAATCCCAGCTGTTTCACTGGCAATGACGGCACTTTACAGAATGAGCCTGGGAATCTGAGCCAATCAATGGAACATGGGACCATAAAAGAGAATTAAGGTGCAAAGTAACATAATCCACCATGTGAGTTCACCCTGCTAGAGCCATACAACCTGACAGTGTAGTTAGTCTATACTTTAGAATGTGGGCTACAGAGTCAGAGACCTGCACTGAATCTGTGACTGTCACTTTATGGCTATAAGTAAGTGGTTTTCAACCTGATATGCACTGGAACCATCTGAATACTGATGTCTAGCTCCCACCTGAGACAACCTGATTTCATCTGTCTAGGGCATGGCCTGGACTTCACCATTTCTTTAAGTTCTCAAAATATTCTAATATAAGGGCAAACTGAGAAATATTGCTATAAAACTGACAAGGTTCATAAGTTATCTGTGTAAAAGAACCTTCCAAAATAAATTTCTATGAGCTTCGCATGGTGCCCCACACCTGTAATTCCAGCACTCAAGAGGCTGAGGCAGGAGGATTGCTGCAAGTTCAAGGCCAGCCTGGGCTACTTAGAGAGCTCAAGGTCACCCTGAACTATAAACCAAAACCCTGTCTCAAAAAAACCAAAGAGGGAGGGCAAAATAAATTTCTATGAAGAGTAAACAAATTAGCACATGCTAAAAGCTTTTAACAATGCCTGGTGCATAGTGGCTCATCAATTATCATTGTTATAGATTAGTGATAAGAATAGGAGTTTAGGGGCTGGGGATTTAGCTCAGTGGTGCCACCACCTACCTCACAAGTGCAAGGTCCCGAATTTGATCCCCGACACCAAAAAAAACCCAAAAAAAAAACAACAACAAAGAATAGGAATTTAGGTTAAGAGGCAGATTAGAAGACATGATAGTGCTCAGTTCTGGATTAGATAAAGGTAAAGAATCCTGGAGTGCTGGAGAGATGAAGAAAAATCCTGATGTTTCCTATAACTAGGAACACAAGAAAAGCAAATTTAGATGCAGAAGATGACTAGCATTGACACAGGAGACTAGAGCATAGCAAAGCTGGTGGGGAAGAAGGTGTGACCTATTCATTACGAGATCCAGGACACAGGAGCAGAATGGTGAAGCACTATGTGTGCGCGGACTTCTCCTGAGAACTCAAGCAGGTTTTCAATAGGGTGCCTCGACCCGACCTCAGCCTGAGACCTGGGGTCCCAGAGCTGCCTCTCAGGACCTGGGTGCACACGAACCGTTCTCACAGGTTTCCTTGAGATTTGGACAGTGTAAAGGACACAGACGGCAAGAAGAGCCTGCTCTCATAACTTTCTTCACAGTAGCCCACCCTGCTCTCTCCAGAGTGTCCTTTCATTGCTTTTTCCCTTCTACTCTGCCCAAGCTTGCTGCGCAGAGTCAGTTTCTCTCTCACTCTTCATTTTTACTTTCTCAAATAAACTTTGCTGGGGATTTAGCTCAGTGGTTCTGCTGCCTGCCTCGCAAGTGGAAGGTCCTGAGTTCGATCCCCGGTACCAAAAAAAAATCAACCAAAAACAAGTGTCTCAAATAAACTTGGCCACTGCTTTTTGCTCATTTTGTTCAATTCTTTGTTTGAGATGAGAAAAATGTGGACTCTAACTCCAGAGAAAGAGAGGCTAGCAACCCAGAACCTGCTAACATTGAACTGCTGGGCCACATTTAGAAGGAGCTACCCAATAACAGCATGAGTGGCCCTTCCTCAAGGCAAAGCAGCCTACCACAAGAGGCATGTAATGCACTAAAGGTAACAATAGCAGGAAAAATGCCCAAACTCACTGTGGTGGCTGACATATGTTAGGAATCCCAGCACTCAGGAGGCTGACGCAGGAGGACTGAATGGAGCCTGGAGTAGTAGTGAACCCTGTCTCAAACTGCCTCACCCCAAAACCAAACTCATATCAGCTTCTAACTAGATAAATCAAATCTCCCACACTAATGCTGGACAGAAGATGCATGTCCATTTCTAGAGAAAAATACCTCATCTAAACTATTCCTCCACCTCAAATGACTGACAAGCAAAAATCACAAGGCATTAAAAATATTAAAAAACCCATAGCCCATGGTGAAGAGGCAGAGCAATCAATGGAATCAGACTCAGAAGTGATCCTAATGTTGGTACTATCAGATACGGAATTTAAAATAGCTATCATTAGTGTAGTTGTTCAAATCCAGTAAAAGGTACACAACACACATTAACTGATGAAGAACTTCAGGAAAAGTGAAAACTTTATGAAAAAAACTCAAATGGAAAAGTGAAAAATAAAAATCATGATATTTAAAGATGAATTCCTTTGATGGGCTCCTCACTAGACAGGACACAGTTAAGACTCAGAGAACTAAAGCTAGGTCAGTAGAAATCATCTAACTGAATACAAACAGAAAAATATGATAAAAAAAACCCCACCCAGACATGGTGGTATACATCTGTAATCCTAGCATTCTTGGAGGCTGAAGCAGGAGGATTGCGAGTTTGAGCCCAGCCTGGGCAATTTAGTGACTGTGCAAGATCTTGTTTCAAAATAAAAAATTACAAAAGAAACAAACACACTAAGAATGTAGCTCAGCACTAAGATTCAATCCCTGGTGGGGACCAGAACGGAGTACTGAAGAGGTACGAAACTTGGACATTATCAATCATCTAACATCTCAGAAGGAAAAAAAGGCAGCGAAAATGGGGCATAAGAAATATTTTAAGTGGTAACAGTCTAGAATTTCTCCAAAATAATGAAATACATAAAACCATGGCTACAAGAATCTCAGAAAGCCTTAAGAATGAATAAAACCAAGACACACCATAGTCTAGCTAATTAAGACTAAAGGTAAAGAAAAAATCTTTACAATACTCAAGAAAGAAAAAATATCACATCCAAAGAAATACAGATAAGAATTATAGTAGACTTCTCATTGAAAAGTGAACTGTTTTAAAATCCTAACTATATAAAAATTTATACTACTGTCTCAGGAAAGAATTTTCAAAGTCCAACAGGCTCATAATCTCTTATATTAACCATTACCTGCTCCTTTTACAAAATTCACTTTCTATATATCTTGTAGGCAGTTTAAGCCATTCATTTGGAGTCATGAAGTGCCTTGAACTACAGATTTTGGGGAATCTGGAACGTAGTCGGGCCTTCTCAACCTCCTTAAATTCTTTCATTGTATATATTTTGCCTGCAGGAAGATTAGTAATCTAAATTAGCTCCCTTACTTGCAGTGGCCATTGCTCTTGGGGTTTGAAATTACACAAGAATTAATAACTAAGTACCAGTCTCACACTGAAGAAGAGTTCTTTTTTCATCATCCTTGTCATATTGTGCTTTTTTCAAAGGATCGTGAAATGGTGGGATGATAAGCTACAAGAAAAACACTTCTTTAGGACTGGGTTGCAGATCTAATTATTAAATATATCTATGTATATCTCCATTATATTATCCATTAAATACATTTACCACATACGAAGAGATGAGAGCACTCTAGTACCTTTCTCAACAAGGTCCTCTAGCCAAAGAGGCAAGATTAGCTGTTAATTCAAAGTACAGGTTCAGTCTTCAAAAACTCTTTTGTTGTTTTCATATATTGCTAAATTTTAAAATCCTATCCATGTTCAAAAGAAAAAATAATCTATACAGTCATCTTATATTAAGAAACATCCATAATCAACAACATAATCAACAATTAGGAAGAACAGTCAAACTACTATTAAAAATGTAGACCATCTGTTAACCAAGATATTAAAATACTAAATCTATTTTAATGGGCAGTGTTATCAATAACAAAATGACAGTTCCCCATAGGAAAACAGTCTTCAGCCACAGTCACCTACATGGTCTAGCCTAGTCTAGCTAAAACATCACTAGTGTATCTTTCTAATAATAATCAGATTTGTTTTTCTGGGGCAGTTACACAACATGAATTTTAAGAGTTAAAAATTAATCAAATGGCCCTCTAGAGTTTTACTTTAAAGAAGTTATGAAGAAGGGTACTTATAAAATGGTAAGAAAATATTAACTCGCTATCAAAAGAGACAAAAACAGTACTATCATTTTCAGGTATTTGTATATAACCTATTCGTGTATGAGTAATAAATCAAATTTTAAACTTAATTAAAAAGAGAGAGAGAGAGAAGCAGGGCCAGGGATTTGGCTCAGTGGTGCTGGCAAGCAGCAGGCCCTGAGTTCAATCCTCGGTACCAAAAAAAAAAAAGAGAGAGAGAAGCAAAACTGGGCATCGTGGCCCACACCTGTTATCACAGCACTGGAGAGGCAGAGACAGAAGGACTGTGGCAAGTTCAAGGCCACCCTGGGCTACATAGTGCATTCAAGGCCAGTGTGGAGTACACAGCAAGACCTTTGGGCTTTCTGTTCCCTTCTAAGCAACTCAGAAGTCGCATGTGTGAGAGGGGGCTTTGGGAAGGTGACGGGATCATTGGGGCACTGGGTTAACCCACTGATGAGTTCAGATCTGAATGTGCCATTAGGAGGCAGGACCTGGCTGAAGGAGGTGGGTCACTGGGAGCCGACTTAGAAGGGTGTATACTTGCCCCTGCCCTTTCCCTTGTCTCTGGCTTTTGTTCTCTGCTTCCTGGATGCCATGGATTGAGCAACTTTACTCCAGCATGCACCTCCACCATGATGTTTTTGCCTGGAGCCAGTCAGCCATGGACTGAAACCCTGAGCCCAAACTAAACTGTAAGTTGTGAGTGTCGAGTGTTTTGTCCCAGCAAAGGAAAGCTGACTGATACACTGTTCTTCAAATATTACTGAACTTTTACAGAATTATTAAATGACAAGTTATATATTACGGTTGCTCAAAAAAAAGACACATACTATCAAAGTTAAAATAAGAAATCTACCTACTTTCAGGAAATTGGGGTCTTCTTTGCTCATACAAAAAGGATCATACTCTTCTGGATCATAATGTTCTATAAAAGCATTTCCCTAAAAGAAGGAAATAAAACCACACATAAAATAAAAGGTGCATAATTAATTCTTAGAATATCAGGACTCAAAGAAAATTCACATTTTCATTCTTATGCTTCAAAGTGGCATCAGTGACAAATGCAAAAGGATGATTAAATTTGCAACTAAGGGCCAGGGATTTAGCTCAGTGGCTTCACTGCCTGCTGCGCAAGTGCAAGGACCCGAGTTCGCTCTCTGGTACCAAAAAAAAGTTCCAAATTTGCAATTAAATTTGGTTTACTCGAGTTTATTATAGCGATGGAAGGAATCTACTTAAAATTTGCAATATTTTAGCACAAGGACCCGAGTTTGATCTCCGGTACCAAAAAAAAAAAAAAAAAATTTGCAGTATTTTAATGAAGAATATTAGAACACCAAAAGATTTGAGTTTCCTTCCTTTCTTCTTCAGCATTAAGGATTAAACCTAGAGCCTCATGAAAGCACTCTACCACCAAGCTCCATCCCCTGCCTGGTAATATTTTTAAATGCTTATTAGTCAAATATCTCCCATTTTTAAAAATATCACAACTTAAATATTTAATAGCTTTGTAAATCAAGTTTCCAAATAAAAGCAAGTATGTCCAAACCTGGAGTCCAGATTTGGTGTGTGCACCAGGTGTGGTGCATGTCTGTAATCCCAGCACTCTGGAAGGCTGAGGCAAAAGAAACCTTGAGTTCAAGGCCAGCACGAGCTACACAGTGAGTTTAAAGCCAGCCTGAACTACATAGTGAGACCCTGTTTAAAAAAAAAAAAAGTGGGGCTGGGGATCTAGCTTAGTGGTTCCATCGCCTGCCTCGCAAGCGCAAGGTCCTAAATTCGATCCCCGGTACCAAAAAAAAATTGTGTATATGTGTGTGTGGTGTGGGTATGTTACTAAGGATTGAACCCAGGGTCTTCACAAGGAACTACATCCCTAGCTCTTTTTATTTATTTATTTTTGTTATTTTGATATAGGGCCTCACGAAGTCACTAAGTTTCCCAGGCTGGGCTCAAACTTGAGATCTTCCTGCCTCTGCCTCCCAGAGTGCTGGGATTACAGATATATCCCATCACACCCTGATGAGTCTACATGTTTTACATCAGTAAATAAAATTAACAATTTTGTGAGGAAAATGGTCCTAAGGCTCACAGTTATATCCAGCCCTAGCCCTCCTCCTCCATCCTTTCCACATGCCAGGATTGAAGTCTACTATATTCTGTAGCAGTCATAGATTTTACACAGAGGGAGGAGGAGCAGGCTATTTGGATGAATAAGCAGTAAGTGAACAAAGATATTCATAATATTTAAACCAATTTTTAAAAGTATCAAATGATCTTAGTACCTTTTTATTTACATGTTTTAAAAAATCATCTAATTCCTTTTGTCTCCTTTTCTTAATCTTCTTATATGAACAGACTTTTTCCATAATTTCCCTGTGGAGGGGGTTTGCCACTTGGTGAGCCCATCTTCTGTGTAACATCTCCTTTCTCCTTGTACTCATGAAGTCATGATGTTGTAAGTACCTATCTAGGTCCTAGGAAACAGTGACAGAAAAGACAATATCTCATCCTGAAGCCTTCTTGTTCTGCAATTTTCTTAAGCTTCCTCAGTTTGTTATTCCTATCACCCAGATATGCATTCATTAGTGTAACACTTTATTTTGGTTTCTACTATTTGACACACACTATGCTAGAAAGAAGGAATACAGAGATAATTGAGACAACATGCCTGCTTTCTCTGGGGAGGTAGACTAAGAAACAAGTCCACAAAACAATGGGAGGAGGGACAATACAGTAGGACATACATACGTACATACAGATGCATATACATGTATATAGGACATATTGTATATGCAGTAACTGAAGACACAGAAGAGAGAAAAACCATTTTCTAGAGTCTTAAAGGATTCCTACTTTGGTATTTTCTCAAAGTTAAACAGAATTACTATACAACCCAGGAATTTCACTCCTTAGGTACATACCCAAAGAATTAAAAACAAAGACTCAAGCAGATATTTATACATCAATGTTTATTATTGCATTTTGGGAGCCAGAAGATAGAGACAACCCATGTCCATCAACAAATGAATGGACAGGGCCGGGGATTTAGCTCAGTGGTTCCACCGCCTGTCTCGCAAGCGCAAGGTCCTGAGTTCGATGCCCGGTACCAAAAAAAACAAATGAATGGATAAACACAATGTGGTATACACATACAATGGAGTATTATTCAGACATAAAAAGGAAGTAAGTTCTTATAGATGCTACAACATAGACAAACCTTGAAAATAATATGCCAAAGAGTAATAAGCCAGACAGAAAATGACAAATACTGTAGGATTCCACATATATGAAGACTGTGTCGAGACAGAAACTGAGTTAGAGGTCATCAGGGGTTTGGGGAGAGGGAATAGGGAGTGACTGCTTATTGAGTATAAAAATTAAAACTGGGGTGACAAAAAGTTTTGGCAATACTTTTGGTGATGGTTTTAAGACATTCTGAATGTAATTAAAATACTGAATGATTGGCCAGGCATGGTGGTGCATGCCTGTAATCCCAACAATCAGGAAGCTGAGGCAGGAGCATTACTGTGAGTTCAAGGCTAGGCTGGACTACGTAGAGAGACCCTGTCTCAAAAAACCAGAAACACTGAATGGTACACTTAAAATGGTTAAAAACAGCTAGGCACTGGGCCAGGGATTTAGCTCAGTGGTGCTGCCGCCTGCCTTGAAAGCACAATATCTTGAGTTTGATCCCTGGTACCAAAAAAAATTAAAAAATAAAATAGCTGGGCAGAGGCACAACAGGGAGACTGCGGAAGATCACAAGTTCAAGGCCAGACTAAGCAGCTTAGTGAGACTCTCCTCAAAATAAAAAATAAAAAGGGGATGTAGCTTAGTAACAGAGTGTCCCTGGGTTCAAGCCTCAGTACTGAAAAAAAAAGTTAATGCAGTGTACAGCAGGGGGCCCCAACCCCAAGGCCATGGATTCATACTTGTCCATGGCCTGTTAGGAACCAGGCTGCACAGCAGGAAGTGAGCAACAGACAAGCCAGCTAAGTTTTGGGGTTTTGTTGTTTTTTTTCTGGTAGTGGGGACTGAACTCAGGACCTTGCGCTTGCAAGGCAGGCACGGTGCCACTGAGCTAAAACCCCAGCCATGTCAGGTAAGTTTTAGGGGTACAGTGGTTCCCATCATCCACTTACTGCTTGAGCTCCACCTCCTGGCAAGGCATCAGGTTCTCACAGGAACACAAACCCTACTGTGAACTTCGCATGTGAGGGGTCCTCTTCTTGAGACATAATGCCTGATGATCTGAAGTGGAGCTGAAGCAGTGATGCTAGCACTAGGGAAAGTCATTATGTATCCCAAATACTAATTTAAAAAAAAGAAACTAAAAAACTTAAATTTAAATGTTCAAAAATCCCCCCCCAAAATTCTCAGTCCATGGAAAAACTGTCTTCCATGAAATTGGACCCTGGTGCCAAAAACGTTGGCGACTGCTGGTATACAGTACATATTTTAACACAATGAACAAAATGATTTAATTTAAAAAACTGTCAAAGTGGGATGTATTTTGGCTGGGCCTTAAAGAACGAGGAGTTATTCAGAAAGAAAGGAGATGCCATTTTTCTGCCTACAGTTAAGCACTTCTACTTACCGATGTGCACCTAACTAATTAATTAGCCAGGTGTTCTGATCACATAAAGATCAACTCATTCATATGACTCAGTAGAAACTCCACTTAGATGAAAGAAAAACCGAGTAGGACATCCTTATGCTGTATCTGTGGAAGGAATTCTCCCAATGTATAGAAACTGTCCATTAAACTCTCAGAGATGTCTTAATGTTAATTCCTGGTAGTAAGGAGAGTTTTTAATTCTATTTTCTGAATGTTATAGGGTACACTACCTTGAAAATGAAAAGTCAAAAATTTAATGTTTTGAGATGCATTTGTAGCCAGCTCTTACCTTGATTACATGATTTTCTCTATGTAATATCAATCGAATAGATCCATCTGTATCTTCTTTAGCTAAGGCCTAAAAGGACAGAATTAAACTCTGAAAATCAAATCTTAAAAAAATTAAATTGTTAGTACTATCTGGATTCATTATACTTTATCTGATAGATATAAATTTGAAAATTTCTCTGGAATTTTTTTCTACTTCTTCATTTCTGTCTCCAAAACAAAACTGTACACAAACGTCCATAGCAGACCTGAAAGAGTAACTTGGTGGGAAACTGCCTGCCTCACATGCAGTAAGTCCCTGGGTTCCATTTCCGGGTGTGTGGGGGGGTTGTTAATAGCAGCAAAAAACCAGAACAATTCAAATGTTCATCCACTGATGAATGGATGAACGAAATGTCGTATCTATACAGTGGGATAGTATTTGGCCATGAAAAGTAATGAAGTATTGATACACATTTTTTAGAATGTCTCAAATTCAAAGAACTATACAAAAAATTTTAAGACTATATTAAATGTTGACTGGAATATAAAACAACTTAACTCTTATGCGCTGTCAGTGAAAATGTAAAATACTGTAATAACTTTGGAAAAGCTTGGCAGCTTTATAAAAAACTAACTTCATTTACCACATGATCCCATTTCACAACTAGCTGTCTACCCAAGAAAAACAAAAGCATGTGTCCATCAAACGACATGCACATCAGTGTTCATAAGAGGTTTATTTATAATAACCCAAAACTAGAAACAACCCAAATGTCCATCAAATAGGATGGACAAATTGGGATATACTCACATAATGGAATAACATTCAGCAAAAGAATGAAATATTAACACATACAACATGGATGAAATGCAAAATAATTATGTGAACGAAACCAGAGCCCAAAAAGAATGTAACATTCCATTTACATTTTTTAAAATTTCAATGCAAACTATAGTGATGAAAAAGACCTATGATGAACATTATCATTATGTATGTCTAAATCGTACCAGTTTAAAAAAATGCAAAGCTGAAAAAAACAACAAGAACAACAAAAAAAGTACCAATAAATGTTTTGCTATAAGGCCGGGGATTTAGCTGAGTGGTTTTGGTGCCTGCTGCGCAAGCGCAAGGACCCGAGTTCGATCCCCGGCACCAAAAAAAAATGTTTTGCTATAAAACATTGGTTTTGCAGGGGACTTAGCTCAGTGGTTCTGTCGCCTGCCTGGCAAGCGCAAGGGCCCGAGTTCGATGCCCGGTACCAAAAAAAAAAAAAAAAAATTGGTTTTATGAGATAGACATGGTTGTATGAGATAGAGGAGGGTGGGCTACAAAGGAAACAGAATACTGAATAGATGTTCATTCTTTATTTGTGGTGATGGTTTCGTGTATGTATGTGTTAAAACGTATCAAACTGTACACTAAACATATGTAGTTTATCATATATCAACTATAACCTAATAAAGCTGTTTAGAAAAGAGAATTACAATACAGTGAATCAAAACTTGGGCAGCGCAGCTAAAGCAGTGCTTCAAGCGAAACTGATAGCTTTATTAGATTTTTCTAATATAATTACATGTACATAATCAATGACCTGTGATTGCATCTTAGGAAGCTAAAAAATGAAGAGCAAAGTAAATACAAAAGGAATAAAGAGAATGAAATAGAAACTATAGGAGAAAAGAACAGCACAAGCTGCTGGCCGAAACTACAAGATGCTCAAAATGCCAGTGGTACCTGCACAGAAGCAAGCCACTGCGGCTCCGACCATTCTCCTGCGCTCCTGAGCCCGGGAAGGGTGCCAGTTACCAGATCGTCACTGTCTACGTTTTTCATCGTGGTCACGAGTAACAAGACCCCTAGAAAAACTAAAAATCAGCTCATTTAGTAATGAACATTCGAAATCATCGTATTTTCCTTTCTGCTGCATAATCGATACCGGTGAACTTGAAAGCGAGTGGAACGGATTCCGAACGCCAGCAGCCACGCTTTCCGCAACGAGCGGCTCCCCACCGGCTTGGGGGGAGGAGGCGTCCCGAGCGCGCCGCCCGAAGACGCGGCCGCCTCCAGCGCGGGCCAAGCTCCCCGGTGGGCGCCGCGGGAGCGCGCGCGGCCCTCAGCCTGGCCCCCGGAAGCCGCGCAGGGGCGCTGCAACCTTGAGGCCACTGCGGCACAGGCTGACGGGCTCAGGAAGAAGGTCGGGGCCTTCGGGCAAAACGTGGGGCCGGAAGCCCTGGGAGCCCCGCAGCCGCGGGAGAGGCCGTCTCGGAGCGCGCGCCCGCCACGGTACCCCGAGCCTCTCACCGGCCCCGGCCCCGGGGCAGGGTCTCGGGCTCTCCGCGCCACGCTGGGCCCGGGGCCGACCTGCTGCGGGGAACGAAGCGCCCGCTCTCAGCCTGAGCCGTTCGCCTTGGAACTCGGGACGCGCGCGTCAGCGCCTCCCAGACGCGGCCCGGCAGCTCTCAATTCGCGCGGGCGACGACGCTGAAGCGGCCAGAGCCGTCCGCGCTCCTCGGTGACGGGCAGCTGTCTCGGCCAATCACGCCGCCTCCGCCCGCGTCCGTCCTGTGTCGCGCCTTCGTGTGTCCCGCCTTCGTGTAGCCCGCTTCGGAGCCCACCGAGCGTGGCGTCGGCTGCTGCCCGGGCCTGGAAGTGACCCGTCCCGCTTTCGGTCGAGCTCCGGGGACCCACCCCAGTCCTGTGACAGGGCGTCTGCCTGCTGCGTCTCTGCGGGGACGAGTGTGGGTGGCGGTTCGCCTGACGAGCACCGGCCTAGGTAGCGGGACGTGGGCCGGAAATGTGGGCTCGAATCAGTCCGCTGGCGCTGGTCGGGTCCGTCCCTGGCGCTACTTCTGGTCAGCGGGAAGGGCGTGAGAAGATTCACGAGCCCCGTGTCTCCTTGAGCTCGGGGTCCCCTTCCTGCCAGGTCTGGGGGTGTTTTGGTTGGTTGGTTTTTAAAATCCCAGGTAATCCTGGTGGGAGCTATTGGCATAGCTAGAAAATTGAGGCAGACTTTCCACTCAGTTTCATAACCCATTCTGTGTGAACTAATTTTGCTGGGATGGTTTTTCTTTGAGTATCAGTGGACACTAGATGGAGGGCCACCATTTTTCCATCATTGCAAATGACACCCGCTGATGCGAAAACTTGGGGACATTTGTATTCTCCTGCCTTTAAGAAGTAGCTAGAGTGGGTAGCTAGCTTCAACCGCAGGTCTCCTTTCGGAGTGGAGGAAGCATGAGCCACTTGCAAAATTTGCTGTTAGATGCCCTCCTGGGGACCAAGCACGTGGACGGTGCGGCCTTCATCAAACTCCAGGAGCGGAGCCTGTGTGTCGCGTCACCAGGATTTAGTGTAAGAAAAAGCAAGCTTGGGCACAAAACTTTTAAACAAATTTTTTCTTTATTTTTAAAATTTTTTTCCGGATTTTTTCTTTAAAAAGCTATGGTAGCTTGTCGTGTGGTGGTGCACGCCTGTAATCCCAGCACTCTAGAAGGCTGAGGCAAGAGAACCACCTCGAGTTTGAAATTTGAGGCCATATTTACACTTTCAGTTTCTCACACTAGAGAAACTATTCGGTATTTACACATGTGTGTCCTATTTATTTCACTTAAAAATATCGCCTCAATG